TCGTAGAGCAATACTGCCAAAGGTCCTTGTGCTCCGGGGTAGCAAAGCAAATTTATCATTCCCCCTCGGAGGTTTTGCTCGATATAGTCTATTGATTGAAGTGTTAGTAAGTCAAGTCAAAGCTAACCCCTTTAGTACCTTATTGTTGTATCATTGCTAATTTCTTTATCTTCGACTTGAAGCATCATCATTATGTCACAGTCCTTCTCGATCACGTATGAGATACTAACTCTATGATTAATCAACAGTCTTTTAAGATTGACAATCTTTGGAATAAGGTGGAGGGATTGAAGAGGGATAGGGGAGATCTAGCACTTATTATTGAAGTAGATGCTTAGGTAGTCAAGTTGGCGATGCAACTAGAAGAGGTTGAGCGGTGCCTTATTGATCAAGTCGAATAATTGAAGATGATCCGAAGGAACAACTACAACATGGAAGATAAGCTGCTACAACTTACCCAAGAGTTGGGCTCATTGAAGACCTACAAGCTTTGAGCTTGTCAAGCAAGTTGTTGTTGCCACCGAGCGAATTATGAGTATGACCAAGCAACTAGCCACCTTGAATGAGTAGATTGAGAGTTTGGACAATAAGCTGGAGGCTTTTGAAAAAGACATTAGAGGTTGATAGAACCATGATATTGAGATATCAAGAGAATGCGGTCAGCAACTACAAAGCCTTTGACGAGTTCATGAAAGGTCTAAAGAGGTTAGGGGTAGACTCGTATTGGTATGGATATTATATCGTCTTAGCTTGTGTTAAGGTGAGGTGCCTCAAGATAGAGATTGAGGAAAACCCATTTATCGAGTACTTCAAAGACTAAAATATTTTGATGGCTACCTAGGTCCCCTTTAATATCGACCCTAACTCGCCATCTCGTCCTAATGCTTAGTCAACCATCTTATCACATTATATTGGCCTTCACTAAGTCATTGGGTTTGTCTATCAGATAATTCTTATGTTTTTACTTTGTCACATCATCAAGCTTATCCACTCGACCAATCTTCTACTTTAGTAGGTCGAGTTCTCATTTTAGATATACAGGCTTGACTAAGTTTGTATAGTCTTTTAAAAGTAATGAAACTCTTTCCTCAACTTTTAACATCTACACCTTTAAAATATTTTTTTATAATTAACGCTAAAGACATAGAGAATAAGACTTGACGCTTAGGAGATAGTTATCTCGACCTAACTCCGAGGGATGCCTTACAGGTAGAATTTCCTTAAGTTTGTAATGTGTCAAGTCCTTGGTAACACCAACCCCACTATTGTTTCCAGGTGAAATGTTTCATTTTGGATAATCTCGACAACATGATAGAGCCCTTCCCAAATTGGTGCTAGCTTGCCCTATGATCTAGTTGAGTTGTTGACTTCAGCTTTTCAAACTATAAATCTCCCAATCAATTTCTTGAGAATACTTCGATTGTAAAGCTTTACCATCATTTTTTTTATCTCAATGCCCTTAAGTATTCTTCTACTCTACCTTACTAATTAGGTTAAGTTTAACCCAAAGTCCTTCTTCGAAGGTTTTTTAATCAAAAATCTCAATTGAAAGTATTGGAAAGACTATTTTGGTTGGCAAAATAATTCAAGTGTCAAAGGTTAAACTAAATGATATCTCTCTCAACCTAGTTTTAGATATCATTGAGAGTCTCAATCAAAAGATACTCGATAATTCATCCATTCAAAATATCTCTTGCTTCAATATTTTTTATATTAATTTTTTAAAATAATTTTGTTAATAAATTCGATGAGACCGTTAATACGAGGATAAACTATCGAGTTGTACCTTTGTTAAACTCATTAAAATTAATAAAACTTTATATCAATATTTAATATTAACAAATCATATAAAATTTACTATATCTGCTGCTTCGGACGTGGTGTAGACGATGGGTAGGTGTCAAACCGGTGCGGGCCGTCCTCCCGAAATCTGGCTCGGCCGGCCGACCGACGTGCGGGTGAGACGTAATCCGTCTCAAGAATTGGACCGAAGCCCAGGTGGGGTTTACCGTTCCGGCCAACCGTGCGCGAAGTCCGCGCCCGGGTTGGTTGCCCACCGGACGCTGCCCCACCTCCCTGTCGCCGTCCCGCCGTGGCGTCAACTACGGTGACGTGTCCCGGCAGGCCGAATCCCAGGGAGAGATCGCGTCCTGTCGCACGACGGCGACGTCACCCCCGCCCTCGTCCTTCCCCGCCCCTCGCGCTTCGAAACGTGTCCGCGAGCGGCGCCACTTTACCTGCTCACCCGCGTGAGCTGTCGCGCCCTGACCTCGAGTCGCACGTGCCCCGAGGTCGCTCCTTCTCCACGTGGCGACGCGTGCTGTCCCGCTCCGTCTTCCGATGTCAAGTTGGGCCGGGTGGTGGCCTTTCTTGTGGACCCCACGCTCGAGGGAATGGCACGTGGCTGGCTGGCCCAGCGATGGGCGATTCTTTTGACCGCAAGTCAAAGTTCGGCGCCACGGCGCGCCGCAACTGGATCACCGTTGTGGTTGCCTCGGACGGCCGTTGATCGTTTATCTAATTTGAACTCGGGTCGCATATTAATCTTATGGGGGGGAGGGGCGTCTTCGAAGCGAGAAACGTCGTGAACTCAGGGGGCCCATATGAGGTCACGCGAACACGTGTCCAGTACGGCGAGTCCTGGTCCGCTCGACACGCGTCTCACAAAGCCGCCCCCTCGTCGGACCCCCCGCGCGGCCGAAGAGTCGCGCCGATTGTTTTCCAGACAACGCAGGCTCTTCCGGCCCTCGCCACGTGTGTGATGCGGGGCGGTCCGAGCTGGACGCGTGTCATGTCGCGGGGGACGAGGGGGGCATATTGGGTAGCCCGAAAGCTTCGGGAAACACTAAAGCGATGAGTTCTCTTCCTCCTCCGTTACCCCATATCCTATGGCTTCCTCCATGGTCGCTCTTGCAACTTCACATTCCAAAACGCTCTCTTATCATCAACCTGGGAACCCTTGCTAGCCCTCGCTGAAGATCTTCCTTTCGTATGCTTTCTTCTCACGGTTTGGTTTTTGTTCTCTTTTTTTCGTGTTTTCGCGAGATCTCGAATCAAACGCGACCTCACATCTGGTTCTCGAAAGTATGTCAACAAAAAGATCGAAACTGTGAGAAAAAGTTGACTTTTTGATGGAAATTTGGAGGTTTTCTTTCTCGAGTCTTCGGTTTCTTTAGTTTCGGTTCGGATCTTGCGATGGATCACGAAGCAGGGGTGGAGAGGGAGAGGAAGCGATTGTTATCAGGAAAGGATAGGCTACCGAGAGATCTGCTGTTGAGGTTTGTTGGAAATGGCTGCGGCGACGAGACCATGGAGGCGACGGAAGGGGACTCCGACGAGATTGAGCTCACCCTCGGCCTCTCCCTCGGCGGGTGCTTCGGCGCGGACCCCAAGGAAAAGAAGCTATTCCGCTCTTCATCGACCGCATCCTTTTCGTCGCTGTCCTGTGTGCCTGAGTTCCAGGTCGTGGCCGCGGCCGTCCTGACGAGGACGAGCTCTCTGCCGGTGGAGACGGAGGAGGATCGGCGGAAGCGGAAACAGATGCAGAGCTTGAAGAGGTTGGAGGCGAAGAGGAAGAGATTGGTGAGGAAGAACTCGATCAGGTCAGGGGCTGCAAAGCCTGGAGAGAAAATGGAGGAGGATGCCGACGGAGGGAAGGGATCGACGGCGGCGGAGCAGACGATGATTGATAACGTAGAGCTCACATCACTAGGGGGCAGCCATTCCGGGGGCTCAAGAAATGGCTTCTCCCCAACCGGATTACCAGCGCGGTCTGCTGTATCGAAGAGGGCGGCTGCCGCGCCGGTGGCCGTGCCGGGGTGCTTTCCGCTGGTCTCGCAGGGGTCTATTGGGTCGCAGGGGAGCATCTCCTCCAGCAAGCGCGACGACACTCGGGCAGCACGAGGTATCGATCGGTATACTTTTCCTATACTTAGATTCAGATATTTGCAATGACATTTACAGGAGTTTTCATCCTCCCAACGATCAAATTTAACCGAGTAATTGAAGTAGATAGATTTTAATTTAATGACATATACTTGATGGATAAAGAACTATGCTTCGCTTATTATTCTTGTTATTATTTGTTCTTCCAATAATTGAGGAAGCATGTTCAATCGGATATTATTGTTGCTAGTCTTTTGCCAATGGATAGCTCTTCAGCTGATACTGACTACTTATTTGCTGAGTGCCAAGTTTTCTTGGCTTGTGGATAGCATATTATCTGGCAATTACTGTTCTTGCCTGTTAAGTACTTGTCGATTAAAGACAGTGATGTTGATGAACCCTTGTGGATGTGTGAGTCCACAGTGATGCATAATTTCCCACTTGACTTCATGGCCTCCGATTCCAGCTGCTAATTAGCCGTCATCTAGTGTTCGGAGAGAACACACTTCCATGTTTTGGCTTGGCAGGAACTCTTGAGCAATTGATGTCTTTTGTTTCTCAACTAAGGTGCTATAATCTAAGAAGAGCATGTCTTCAAATTCGCCTAAACTTAGCCACCTTAAATTGTTGCAGGCTTCGGCATGGCTGGCTATAGCAATCATGCAGAGACGAAGAGCGGGAAGGCTACAGTTGGAGGAGATGAAGGCATTGCGAAGAAGAAGGTGGCGGCGCAAGCCAACTGGATGAAGGAGACGGAGAGGAGAATTATGGAGGAGATGCCGTTCGTGTCCACCAGAGGCGATGGGCCCAACGGAAGGAGAGTCGAAGGCTTCCTGTACAAGTACAGGAAGGGGGAGGAGGTGAGAATAGTGTGCGTGTGCCATGGCAGCTTCCTCACACCTGCTGAGTTCGTCAAGCACGCGGGCGGTGGCGACGTCGCAAACCCTCTCCGCCACATCGTGGTCAACTCTTTCCCCTTCTCGTAGTGATCATGAACTTTGATCTCACGCAAAAAGAATTCAAATTTGGTTTGCTTTCGGCTCAAACACTCTTCATCAATCATATGGTTTTGACTTCCCTTCATCTTTGTTGGTCTCAAGCTTACAGGAGGGTGTGTGCTCCACCATGACACTTTTGATCCATTTTATCAAACCAAAACCAAATACTATGACAAATTGTCGTCAAATGTAGAACAAGTCAGCTAAATGTTCAAGGAAAGAAGAAAAAGAATGAGGCATTTCTTCCTGTAGATTGCTCATTGTAAGTTAAAATGAACATTTAGCTGAATTTTGATAGCAAGCATAAACAAAGAGACAGGCATCCTACAAATACAATACCGATCAACCATAAGCAATCAAAAGGTTCCTAGATGAAGTTTCCATTGAAAACCTGTGATCCCAACGCTTAACTTTCGTGGATCCGATCACCAAAAAGTGTAGCTTTCAGATCATAGAAGACAGACTACTCCTGCCATTGGAAGCAAACCTCCGTTACTACCATCCCTGCTGCTTGTTGTTCCTGAAGGATTGATACCTCCGATTATTTGGGGGAGAAGGGGCGCCTGCTCACAAATGGGGTCATAAGATAGCGAAATTTCTTTGTCATGTAACTTCTCACCCGCACGAAAGGCGTAACGATCCATCCGTCGTGTTGCCCGTTGTTGAGCTGAAAGTGTTGGGAGTTGCTGTGCTTGATGTGGTGCTCGTGCTTGTTGGTGTGCTTGAGGTTCCTGCAGCACCGATGAAAGAACCAAGAATGTGGTTTAGAAACATCATATTGGCAACTAATGAACTGAATGCAGTTCATCAGCTTGGCGTGGATCAAAGGAACATGTCTTAATTCAAGCGATTTAATCTCTTCTCTAGCAAAAGTCCCAACGTTCTCTACACAGATTAAACAGAGAAAATAGGTACCTGGGAGTTGCAGGACAGACAGCCATTTGCACCTGCAAGAACACACAAAAAGAAGAGAGGATCATCTTGTTTGAGCATTCTAGTAATTTGATCTGTGCTACTTGGATCTGTGCAGGTAAGCATGGCTGTTGCAGAGAAGTCACGAGCTGTTTGAGCCTGGCCATTCCTCTGGTGGAAGCTATTGGCACCATAAGAGCAATCGAACAGCACTGTGTTGGGGTTATAGCATGCCCCATCTTGCAGAATAGGGTTGCAGTCAGCTCCAGCTCCACAAGCATAGTCCATTGTCTTTTGCAGTGCAGTGGTGCTCACATGAGCCTGCCAAACACACCAAGCAGCATCTGCCAACATGAAATGGAAACAGAGATGAATACTTTTGGTTCATATGTCTACTGGTGCACGAATGAGCAAAGAGCATATATATATATATATATACAACCTTTGCCAAAAAAACAAAGAGATCTTAAAGAGAATGTATCAAAAAATAAAGCAAGGCTATATTAGTCTCATGCTGGCCTCTTTAAGAACATTATATGTCGATACTTGTGAACAGGAAGCATCACAGGATGTAAAGGAAAAAAATATTTCAGACATTGCAGATCGAATGTTATTGAGGCCAACAAAGGAATTGCATAATGCAAAAGCAAAACAAGGTGGAAAGGGAAAGAAAAAGCAAAGGAAAAGAGATCATTTTCCACCAATTTGTATATAGTTCAGGAAGAAGAGCAAAAAAAACCTATGGCAAGGTTGCCCAAAAACCTCACCTGAACCACCAAATATTGACACAGTAAGCACAAGGAGCAGTAAACCAGCAATGATCATTGAAAAAGAAGGGAGAAAATAGGCAGAAAAGCAATGAGCTTAGCAGCTCTGAGAATGGCTGTATTGTCTCACCAGGAGGAAGAAGGGATATCTCGGTTGCGTTGGGAGTGTCCTCGATTAATGATGCAGATATGCTCATTTCTTTCCTTCTCCAGTTTGTTTGCCTCGGTGAGTGTGTCCTTGAGAGGTGAGCCATGCGTTCTAGAACCCACACAGCAAAACGGTAGGGTGGGTGGAGTGTGGGTCCTCCTGGTTGTGCTCTCAGCCCTAAATCCTGGCAGAACACAGTGCTTGTGCGGAACACTATACCTTCCATTTATGCCTCATGGATTCATCATCCTTCTTCATTTTGGATCTTCTCATAATACTGGGTTGTAGATAACCATGTGGTATTTGATCTTTACTCCATTCAACACAATCCAGTGAAGCAGCCAACATCATGTGTGGATGAATCCAAGTTTACGCTACCGAAGTAGAAGAACTTTTGGGTGTACACACAAGATGATAGTACAAAGGCTATTCTGCGAGGTTACAACAAAGAGACATGAAGTCATCTGTACTCACAAAGCAAGAAATGGCATGCAGGACGGAGAGCACCAGGCCAAGTCAAGAATGGACCGCGTTGACCTTCTCGAATCATTTCCTCTAAAAATCGATGCTTCTGGTAACACAGAATTAGAAAGACAGCCAGAGAGAAGGATTTGGAACCATGATTGGGATGTTCTCGATCTATATATATGCAGTAGTTGCCAAGTCTTTGGTGATCAGTTGTAGTCCCCAAAGCTTGGCATTTACACAGGTCACCGACTTCAACATCTTCCCTCGTACGCTGCAGGGACGAGCCTTGGGACGGGGTACGCCAGGAGAGCTGCAGTGTGAGCCCGTAAGCCTCCTCCATGGCGAGATTCTCCGGCCTCATTCCCGCCGGCAATCTCCAGTCGAAGGCGTGCACCAGCGTCGCCGCCATCGGCTGCACCATCCTTATCCCCAGGATCATCCCTACGCAGACCCTCCGGCCGGCCCCGAAGGGGATGAGCTCGAAGTCCTTCCCCTTGACGTCGACGCTCTCGTCTCGGCCGCCGGGGAGGAACCTGGCCGGGTCGAACTCCAGCGGCTCCGGCCACGACGCCGGGTCGTGGGTGATCGCCCAGATGTTGACCAGCAGCGTGGCGCCCTTGGGAATGGAGTAGCCGGAGACCTCGCATGCCTCGGACGCCATGCGGGGGAGGGAGAGCGGCGAGGCGGGATCGGCCGACCGCCGAGTCGGGCTCGATCTGGGCTCGCTTTAGCACGTCCGGGTGGCGGATGAGCTCAGGCAGGGCCCACTCCACCGTGCTAGATGACGTGTCTGTCCCGGCCGTGAACGAGTTCTGCCACACCAATGTCGATACATAACACACTACTACTGAGGAGAGAGGGATTAATCTCTATCGACAATGACAGTTGTAATGACAGTTGTAATGACAGTTGTAAGGTACTCCACTTCGATTAAAAGTTAATCTCTATCGATATATGATTCTTAAATGAAACACATCGTTTGTCCCGGCAATGTGTCACCACCACCCAGAAAAAGTTGACATAGACAAGCCATCCGTCTCCCTATGCCGATCGATGTCATTGGAAGTAACATCTTATGTCATCCAACCGTGTGATCTGATTAATGACGTCCTTTAAACTTAAATGAATAACAATAGTAATAAACCAATTTAACTCAGTATCTTAAGCTATTATTTTTTATAAAAAAATAAATGATAAAAATAAAATTTATATCCAGAACTATACCATATACTATCAAGTCTTTATTAAATAAATTAACTGACATTTTCAAGTTTATCATCATCTTCAAAATATGTCAGATGATATTTTAAAAGATTTCAAACTTCAATCATTTGATAAATAAATCTATTATATCATCATCATTATAATTATATATATATATATATATATATATATATATATATATATATATATCACTAAACTAAAATCCAAAAAAACAAATGCAAAAAAAAAAAACTATGTACATATATCTGACTTTATCAATGATAAGGACATCACATATATATCATTTTGTAAAATATTGGCAAAATCTTCTTTTTTCCATGTGAGTTCGTTTTGTTATCTTATAACACATTATGATGTTGACAGGGTTTTGCATCAATAAAACAAGGAATTTGTGATATTTATTCTTGAAAATGGTTACATTGATTTGGAACACACATTAGTTGTAATCTCCATTCAAGTATTTTAGCAGTAAAAAAATCTACTTTTTCATAAACAATAAATATAAATTAATTAATAAAATTTGAAATATATTCAAGTAATGAAGATTGAGATTAGTTTTGGTAATCAAGAATGACTTGTATATTCTTTTCCTTTTGTTGATGATGAAGCAGGAGAAATAGTAATTTATATATATTTTTTATGATAAAACGAGAGAAGTAATGACTTATGTTTAGCTTATATTTTGGATAAGAAAAATATAATGCTTTTATAATTTTTATTTTACTTATGCATTATATCATAATAATGATTGAATATTATTTTTAAAATTAAAAACTTAATTGAATATTTGAGCTTGAAATGATGATATCAACAAGATTGAATTTATTTAACTTGGATTCAAGACTAGTGTTGAAAAGATATACATTTTTATTTTTTAGTTTAAATTCATCGTAGTCTTTTTAGATGACTTATATATAGGGAGAGTCTTATTAACATATCATCCTTAATTGATTGTCATCGTAAAAATGAATAACATTATTAAATTTTAAATTTTGATAATAAAATTAATTAATAAATTATTAAAATAATATATTTTTTAAATAAGTGAGACAGAAAATACTTTGATCATTCATTTGGACTATCGAAGGGATAAATATCAAGTCGGAAGATTGATCGATATGTCAAAGAATGAGCCTTATACTAGATGTTTGGACATCATGCCGGAAGGAATGAATATCGCATTAAAAAATTAGATGTCATGTGAAGATGACGTGTCAGAGGAGTAAACAATATTTTAAAGATAAGATGATGTGCCGAGGGTTCGGACAAAAGGTCATAAGATTAGAAGATATGTCAAAAGCTTTAATGTTGTGCCAGATGAAATTATTGAGTTAAGATCAAGGTGTTCTATGGTTATTTTGGATCGATATTGAGTAAAAATAGAGCTCACTTGTTATGATAGTCATTGGGCTTAAAACTTAATTGAATTGGGCCAGTAATAAGGCTAAACTAATATCCTAAATTAAGCATGAGTAGTGGTATCACTAAGCCTATGTGGTGATAGTATTATTTTAGTTGGCAAACAATTTCTAGATTTGTCAACCCTATCGATATCACCCAAATCCCAATGATATGGCCACTAAAATCTAATAGCATACTAAATTCTAATTGCTTTCAATGGTCATACTACTAGCGTAGTGATAGAAATAATAGAAGATAAGAACAATAATGGAAGCTTTAGCTTTAATATATTAACATGTTCCCTCTCCTATTTATAGAGAAGGATTTTCCTCAACAGAATAAACAGAATAGAGAGATTTCTTCATATAGTTGGGAAATCTTATCTTCTATCAAGTTGGGAAAATCTTATCTTCTATCATGCCCCCACAAGATGGTGCTCCTGACAAGGATACCAATCTTGGATCGATGCAAAGAATGGTTTAAAGCGAGAGGTTTCGTGAGTAGGCAAGAGCAAATCGCTGTTGTTGCTGCGATTGCTGTTGCTGTGAGGGCACAAGCGTTCCCTTCGTTCTCCTTACGTCCGCCCTTCGTTCTCCTTAAGTCCGCCGACTGTTGGCAGATCAGCGAAGAGGATTGGCCGTGGAACGAATGTGACTACAGCGACAGGCCAAAGACAAGGGCGAAGCTTCGATTTCCTCGTATAGTTGGAAATCTTATCTTCTATCAAGTTGGGGAAATCTTATCTTCTATCACGTAGTAGTACCACTCAAATCTCAAAAATATCAAAAATTTAAATTTTGACTCAATTCTTGAAGATTTTTGAGACTATAAATATCTCACTCAAGCTTGGCTAATGGTACATCCATTAATGATCTAGGGCCATTAAGATATTTTTTTTGGGTGTGGAGGCAAAGTTTATATCTTCTAGCTTTTTCCTCTTTCACAAAAAGTACATTTGAGATCTAATATCATGAATGAACATAAATGCGAAAGAAGTTGCTACCCCTCTCCTTTATTAAGTCACTGAAACTATATGATGATATCCTACTATGGATTCCATATATTATTATGAAATATTTGACTTTCTATAGTACTTATCTTTTACTCATCCAGTTATTTCATTTGCATTAAATAAACTACTATAATTCATACATTGATCCTCTACTATTCATTAGTCTACACTAAAATATATCTTACGATATCTTAAAACAACTCTCAATCATATACTTCTTTATGAATACTCATTCTCTCAATTTCATATATTCATCGATGCTATTGGACCAATAATATTGATGATATAATATCCACATAGGCTTACAATATCTTTCTTGTAGTAAACCTAATCATTTGAAGTTCAAGAAATATATATTCATAAAATCTATCACCGAAGCTAAGCATCTAGT